CGGCTTTGTTTACATTTATTAAACAGTTTACAAGCATGAAAACTTCCCAATCAACTGTTGTTATTATTATAAACAGCCTCCTGGTGCTTCGGAGCTCATTAACTGTTTAATAATTGGAAACAAAGCCGCCAAAGATTGAGAAAAGATGTACAGGTTCGTAAGTGCTTGCGTAAGTGCTTTCGTGTATCTGGCCCCTGGTGAATAGTCAGTCGTGGGATAGCGGGACTCGACTAGCCTGTTCCCGGTAATGGGATAGCAAACCAAATATTCAACTACTTTTCCCATTCCATTTGATCGCTCTTGTCTTGCTAAAGTAGCTCTACTTTTCCACGACTCTTCTGGGATTCTATCGACCCACATTCTAAACCTTTCCATATACTATATCAATCTCCCAGGAATTTTATACATGGCAATCATGTCTCCTCTCCCTTCCTTATCTTCTTTTAATATATTAAGGTTCAACTCCCAGTTGTGTAGCAATGTTTAATGTAAACACAGTCGTAAACGCACACGAAATATTAACTTAGTAATGGGTGACGTAGTAAGGGATTGCAATGTAGATTCAAAATATAACTTATTTGTTAGTATTCCAAGCCCAGGAACGTAGTATATTATATAAATTTATTAGCTCGAATAATAATGACCCCAAATAGACAATTATAGGTCTGAAGAACCTTATATGTAAATAGAAAACTTGGTACAAAAGGAGTAGAGAAGTCAATCTAGAACAAGATTGGGATCCTACAACAAGATTGGGAACAAGATCCTACAAGTAGGAAACTGTTGTAAATGGAGTGCCACAAGGCTCTGTCTCGGGACCTCTGATGTTTATAATATATAAATGATTTAGATTCAGGACTGAACAGCAATATTTGCAAATTTGCCGACGATACGAAAATCGGGAGGAAAATAAACTCGAAAAAGAGTCTCAAAATCACTTCAAGACGATCTAGACAGGGTTTCGAAATGGTCAAAAGACTGGCAGATGTTATTTAATACTGACAAATATAAGATTATTAGGCTAGATAATGATGATAAGAGTTACAGGATATCAGCTGGATGTTGCTGATATTGAGAAAGGGATCTGGGGGTCACGATTAGTAAGAATTTAAAGCAAACAAAAAATCAATGCACAAATGTTCGAAATACGTTAAATAAGAAACTGGGATTTATTTCTAGAAACGTTAACAATAAAACACCTGATGTTATTCTTTAGCTGTATCATGCTTTTGCTAGGCCGCATTATGCAGTTCAGTTTTAATCGTCATACCACAGAATGGACATAAAATCACTTGAACGCGCCCAGCGTAACATGACAAAAGTTAATCCCGAAAATTAAAACTCTTCCACATGAAGAGAAATTGAAATACTTAATTTGTGTTCTCTAGAAAAGCGAAGAGTTAAGGATGATATGACTGAAGTGTACAATGGAATAAATGGGTATAAATAGAGAAACATATAAATATAAATAAGGTTTTTATCATCATATAATTAATCACGAAACAATGTATATCAATTGGACAAGTTTAGATTTAGGAAAGACCTGGATAAATACTGGTTTCGTAAGAAAATTGTTGATTTGAGGAACAAATTACCGGGTAATATAATAGACGTAGGATCCCTTGATTGTTTCAAGCGTAGGTTAGATATATATGTGAATGAGTTTGAGTGGATATATATTAGGAGCAGCCACGTATTTGCCAATAGGCCTTCTGCAGTTTCCTTGATTCATATGTTCTTACACACAGGTGCATGCACAGACACAGACACACACACACACACACACACACACACACACACACACACACACACACATACATACACATGTACATGCATATATGCCCATGTACACATGATTATGAAGTACACTTTTGGGGAACTACACTGTAGAATGTAGATAAATTCTTTGGAAACTAAACAGAGAAATATGACTAAGTTAATCCATTGAATTTGAAACGCTGCACAGACTAGGAGAACTAGATTTAAACTATTTACAAAGGCTTAAATCAAAGGGCACCAATATAGTGAACACGAGGAAATGGCTCAATACGAAGGGTGAAAATGGGTGTAACTAGGTGGATAACATACAACCATGAAAGGTTGTAACAATAGGGGTATATATAAGGTGATGGAAGGGTATGATAAGGAGCCACACATAGAGTGATGAAAGGGTTTAACAAGGGGGACATACACAACATGATGAAATATGAATCCAAATAAGAAAAGACACAAAGTATTTAAATTGTATAAATTTAGATTTAGAACAAAAACTGGGTCCCCAGAGCTAGGTCTTATGCTCGCTCTCACCCCCCCCCACCCTTCCCTTCTCCAACCATTTCTTTCTCACTCCTGCTTTTTCGATTCCTGAATTTTTCATGACCGTTCTAAAGTAACCTTTTTTGGAGCGAGGTATTCCTCTATTTTATCGAGTCACTTTTCACAGGTTCTTATTATAGAGAACGGTAACATTTGCGCTTTTTCCTCCATATATTATAACATTTCACTCATTTCATAAGTGGATTTGTTCATTGATGCATCAAGCTATTGTGATTTCTGTGTGTTATTTCACTCATTCTTTGTCTCTCTCTGTCTCTATTCTCTGTTACATGCACTTAAGAATATAGATCAATAATTATAGAAAACCTCCGACCATAACGTTGATATGAACACGTTAAAAACAATAATAATAGTAATAATAAATTCAGCAAGAACAACGGCTATAAAGCAACAATGAATGCAGTCGGCAGCATAACAAAAGACGGTCGGCAAGTGCAGTAACAGCGCCCCGAGACTCCTATATATAAGCAGTGAATTCCAAAACTTTGATCATCCAATGTGGCGCAATAGATAATTCGACCAGTTCACGGCTACGACGCCCCCCCAAAAAATTACTGCCAGTTTGAGATATCGGAAAAGCCCGGTCCACGGGTCGTTAACGATAGCGATAAACCCGGTGAACTCAAGTTTGCAACATATCTCTCGAGCCAGAAATGAGCTGGAGGGTTCGTGTTAATGACACTTTGAATCCTCAGGTGCTTTTAAGCTCCTAATAACCACACGCTGCCTTAAGGAGACCAAAACAAACACGAAAAAAATGCCATAAAAAGCGCGTGTTATTGTTATCATGGAGCTCAACGTTTCAATCAACTGGTTCGAAACGTGTGGTGTAAATTCAGAGTTAATCTTCACACTTCAAGACTGACAATTAAGTTCATTAAGACATTGTTATGGCGCTAATGTTGGGTGTCTTTCTCGAAGGGCGAAAACGAGATGAGAGGAAAGAAATGATTGGGTGAAGAGATGAGATGAGATAAGAGGGGAGATAGGGGAGGGGGGTTGGGGGGTTAGAGGAGAGAAGTTGAAGACAAACCGTAGGCAATTACACTCCGATAATCGCGCTGCGCTTCGTTACAAACTGCGGCACTTCATTACAGCTCCACTTGAGAGGCGCAGCGGGACTTACCACTCGCTGTAGACCCCCCCTAGCAGGAGCTCCGTTTACCGTGGAGACGAAGTAACAGCACGACTCGTCTCTTGTTAGAGCCGTGGAACAAGAACCAAGTTTCCCGTAGAGACGAAGTAACAGCACGACTCGTCTCTTGTTGGGACCGTGGAACAAGAACCAAGTTTCCCGTGGAGACGAAGTAACAGCACGACTCGTCTCTTGTTGGGGCCGTAGAACAAGAACCAAGTTTCCCGTGGAGACGAAGTAACAGCACGACTCGTCTCTCGTTGGAGCTGTAGAACAAGAACCAAGTTTCCCGTAGAGACGAAGTAACAGCACGACTCGTCTCTTGTTGGGACCGTGGAACAAGAGCTAAGTTCCCCGCGTGGAGCAACGCAACGTTCCTAGAATTCTAATAATGCCCGTTTTTCCCGCGATCGCCATCCAGGATTTTCGAGTGGGGCTCCATTTTTGCCAATTCCCAGCCGTGTTCGACAATGCAAAGCTCCCTGCTCGGCTCCCAGGCACATATGAGTTTAGGGGAATTAGTACAGGAACTATTTCCATAAAAGTGTCTTGAAGATTTTTTGACGAGCAGTGAAAGCGGAGGGGAATGGCAGCACTCCGGAAGAGAAGACGCCGGAATGGGAGGAACAGGAAGTGGTAGTTATCATGGAACGGGAGGAGGAGGGTGAATTTAAATAATTTTCAAGGTTAGGTGGCAGTGTGGAATAACAGGATGGTATCCAAACTTCAGAAGGAACAGCTTGCCAGTCTGGATGAATATAGACTCCTCTTGAGTGGATAGGAGTGAATCCACTTCTATCTTGAGTGGATAGGAGTGAATCCAATTCTATCTTGAGTGGATAGGAGTGAATCTACTTCTATCTTGAGTGGATAGGAGTGAATCTACTTCTATCTTGAGTGGATAGAAGTGAATCTATTTCTATCTTGAGTGGATAGAAGTGAATCCACTTCTATCTTGAGTGGATACAAGTGAATCCACTTCTATCTTGAGTGGATAGAAGTGAATCCACTTCTATCTTGAGTGGATAGGAGTGAATCCACTTCTATCTTGAGTGGATAGGAGTAAATCCACTTCTATCTTGAGTGGATAGAAGTGAACCTAGGTCATGAATATGACCTTCGAATCCCCAGTCGTGTATTCATTCACTCTAATCGGATAGGATGACGTACCAGTCATATCCCAATCGGACAGCACAGTATCGCAATAGGATATGAGAGTATCCCCTGATCTGACCTGACCTGAGGGGCCTGACAGCTGAGTGGATAGCGCTCGGGATTCGTAATGCTGAGGTTCCGGGTTCGATCCCCGGTGGAGGCTGAAATAAATGGGCAGAGTTTCTTTCACCCTGATGCCCCCCCTGTTCACCTAGCAGTAAATAGGTACCTGGGAGTTAGACATCTGCTACGGGCTGCTTCCCGGCGGTGTGTAACAAAACGCAGGCCTGGTCGAGGACCGGGCCGCGGGGACGCTAAGCCCCGAAATCATCTTAAGAAGAAGATCCCAGCTAAGGACTGTGTAACAGAAGGAATGACGCTGGTGGGTGCAAGAGGTGAGAAAAGGAAGAGACGTGACGGAAAACAGAAACTGGATGATGGGATGGGAATGAGGAGCAAGGTGAAGGGAAGGGTAAGACATGAGGGAACGAGGATAGGGAAAGGAACAGTTACAGCCCCGCTCCTGTGCCAGGTGAGTCCACTACGGGCTCACCATAGCCCGTGCTACTTTGGAACTTTTGTTCTAAGTAGCTGAATCTAAAAACAACAACTAGGGAAAGGAAAGATTAGAAGGCTGAGAAGAGGAGCAGTGAGGGGAAAGGATAGGGGGAAAAGAGTGAGAAGAAGGGGGGAACACGGTGAGGGGGGGTGCAGTGGGAAAGAGGGCAAAGGGGAAGAGGAAGGAGGTGAGACAGATTCGAACCCAAGGAGAAAGAGGGGAATGCTGATGCAGCAGCATAAGCAACATAAGACACCGCCAGGTCATTTCCCCTCCCTGCAGAGGCATGGCGGGGTTGGCATTGTCTTCACCCGACTTAAGTCGAATCTTTTTCTACACAAAAAAAAACTCATTATCTCGAAAATATTTCGTCCATTTCATATTGAATTGATCTATTCAGTATTAATATGTTCACCCTTCTTCTTATCATACAAAAAAGAACATTAATAACAGAGGGAACAAAGATGAACCGATTTGTGAAAATTTGCATTCTCAAAATTTATCGCCAGAACAAAACTAGTTTAAGCGATCATTTTTGACTTTGATGCGATATACAATGAAGACTTTGATGTGATATACAATGTAGACTTTGATGCGATATACAATGTAGACTTTGATGCGATATACAATGTAGACTTTGATGCGATATACAATGAAGACTTTGATGCGATATACAATGTAGACTTTGATGCGATATATAATGAAGACTTTGATGCGATGTACAATGTAGACTTTGATGCGATGTACAATGTAGACTTTGATGCGATATACAATGAAGACTTTGATGCGATATACAATGAAGATTTTGATGCGATATACAATGAAGACTTTGATGCGATGTACAATGTAGACTTTGATGCGATATACAATGAAGATTTTGATGCGATATACAATGTAGACTTTGATGCGATATACAATGTAGACTTTGATGCGATATACAATGAAGATTTTGATGCGATATACAATGAAGACTTTGATGCGATGTACAATGTAGACTTTGATGCGATATACAATGAAGATTTTGATGCGATATACAATGTAGACTTTGATGCGATATACAATGTAGACTTTGATGCGATATACAATGTAGACTTTGATGCGATATACAACGTAGACTTTGATACGATATACAATGTAGACTTTGATGCGATATACAATGAAGACTTTGATGCGATATACAATGTAGACTTTGATGCGATATATAATGAAAACTTTGATGTGATATACAATGTAGACTTTGATGCGATATACAATGAAGACTTTGATGTGATATACAATGTAGACTTTGATGCGATATACAATGAAGACTTTGATGCGATATACAATGTAGACTTTGATGCGATATATAATGAAAACTTTGATGCGATATACAATGTAGACTTTGATGCGATATACAATGTAGATTTTGATGCGATATACAATGTAGACTTTGATGCGATATACAATGTAGACTTTGATGCGATATACAATGTAGACTTTGATGCGATATACAACGTAGACTTTGATTCGATATACAATGTAGACTTTGATGCGATATACAATGTAAACTTTGATGCGATATACAATGTAGACTTTGATGCGATATACAATGAAGACTTTGATGCGATATACAATGTAGACTTTGATGCGATATATAATGAAAACTTTGATGCGATATACAATGTAGACTTTGATGTGATATACAATGAAGACTTTGATGCGATATACAATGAAGACTTTGATGCGATATATAATGAAGACTTTGATGCGATATACAATGAAGACTTTGATGCGATATACAATGAAGACTTTGATGCGATATACAATGTAGACTTTGATGCGATATACAATGAAGACTTTGATGCAATATACAATGTAACTCCCGTCATCAAAAGGTGCGGGCAAGACAGTGCTACAACTCATCAAGACGAGCCTGCATGCATTTAAGGGTCGGAATTATACATTGATCTCGTGCGATCATCAACACTATTAGCGAGAGACTATGCATGGTGCTTTGATCCCGCTGTTGGGTTATTGTTGTTACAAACAGCTGTCAGTCAGTACAGCTGTTTAAGGAGCAGCTGTCCGTTAAACACAGCTCTCTAAGGCACATCTGTCCATTAGATACAGCTGTCAAATGGACACGTGTCCTCACCAATACTGTATCTTAAGTACAGTTCCCTTATTATTTAATTTCCCACGTACAGCTGTCCACCACCACCACCAGCCACCCCCGTACAGCTGTCCACCACCACCACCAGTCACCCCCGTACAGCTGTCCACCACCACCACCAGCCACCCACGTACAGCTGTCCACCACCACCACCAGCCACCCACGTACAGCTGTCCACCACCACCACCAGCCACCTACGTACAGCTGTCCACCAACACCACCAGTCACCCCCGTACAGCTGTCCACCATCACCACCAGCCACCCACGTACAGCTGTCCACCACCACCCACCAGCCACCCACGTACAGCTGTCCACCACCACCACCAGTCACCCCCGTACAGCTGTCCACCACCACCACCAGCCACCCACGTACAGCTGTCCACCACCACCACCAGCCACCCACGTACAGCTGTCCACCACCACCACCAGCCACCCACGTACAGCTGTCCACCAACACCACCAGTCACCCCCGTACAGCTGTCCACCATCACCACCAGCCACCCACGTACAGCTGTCCACCACCACCACCAGCCACCCCCGTACAGCTGTCCACCACCACCACCACCACCCACGTACAGCTGTCCACCACCACCACCAGCCACCCACGTACAGCTGTCCACCACCACCACCACCCACGTACAGCTGTCCACCACCACTACCAGCCACCCACGTACAGCTGTCCACCACCACCACCAGCCACCCACGTACAGCTGTCCACCACCACCACCCCTGTACAGCTGTCCACCACCACCACCACCACCACCCACGTACAGCTGTCCACCACCACCACCACCACCCACGTACAGCTGTCCACCACCACCACCAGCCACCCCCGTACAGCTGTCCAGCACCACCACCAGCCACCCACGTACAGCTGTCCACCACCACCACCCCTGTACAGCTGTCCACCACCACCACCACCCACGTACAGCTGTCCACCACCACCACCCACGTACAGCTGTCCACCACCACCACCACCCACGTACAGCTGTCCACCACCACCACCCACGTACAGCTGTCCACCACCACCACCACCCACGTACAGCTGTCCACCACCACCACCCACGTACAGCTGTCCACCACCACCACCCACGTACAGCTGTCCACCACCACCACCACCACCCCTGTACAGCTGTCCACCACCCCTGTACAGCTGTCCACCACCACCACCACCCACGTACAGCTGTCCACCACCACCACCTCCACCCCTGTACAGCTGTCCACCACCACCACCACCCCTGTACAGCTGTCCACCCCCACCACAGTCTGACAAACATTTTAGCGACGTCTCCAATAAAGGGAGCAAAAACTCTTATTCAATTTTTTGGCAGCGGTTAATGGGCGCGGATTAGCCAGTTCTCCTCACGGAAATGATTGCTAAATTAAACCTCTCGGGAATTCACTGTTATTGTGGCGTCGAGACAGAAGAGAGAGAGAGAGAGAGAGAGAGAGAGAGAGAGAGAGAGAGAGAGAGAGAGAGAGAGAGAGAGAGAGAGAGAGAGAGAGAGAGAGAGAGAGAGAGAGAGAGAGAGAGAGAGAGAGAGAGAGAGAGAGAGAGAGAGAGAGAGAGTCAAAGCAATCCTAATTCAAACTGAAAATATTCAGTAAATGAATACAACAAATAAAATATAATAACAAATAGAAAATGAAGACACAGAAGAATTTCTTTTACCTGATGCCTCTGTTCACCTAACAGTAAATTAGGTACCCCAGGGTTAGACAACTGTTGTGAGCTGTATCTTGAGATGAATGTGTGTAATTACCTAAGTGTAGTTACAGGATGAGAGCTACGCTCGTGGTGTCCCGTCTTCCCAGCACTCTTTATCATATAACGCTTTGAAACTACTGACGGTCTTGGCCTCCACCACCTTCTCACCTAACTTGTTCCAACCGTCTACCACTCTGCAAAAGAAAACTTTCTAATATTTTTTAAGCACCTTTATTTCCATAGCGTGAACCTCTGTCCTCTTGTTCTTGAAGTTCCTGGTTTCAGTAATTCCTCTTTGTCAATTTGGTCGATTATTATTAGTATTTTGTAAGTGGTGATCATATCTCTTCTTTTACTTCTATTTTCTAGCTTTGGCGTGCTTAACGCCCCTAGTCTCTCCTCGTAACTCTTGTTTTTTTCAGTTCCAGAAGCTATTTTGTAGCATGTTTTTGGAACTTTTTCCAGTTTATTGATGTGCTTCTTGAGATCTGGCCACCACACAATATATATAGTTGACATGATAAGAGAAAATGTACGGGTGTCAATACACTAGACAACCACAGTTGGAAAGGCGGGGTCCAAGAACTAACAACTCGAGCCTGCAGGCACACATAGGTGAATAAAATTAGGTGATTGCACACACACCCATACACACACACACACACACACACACACACACACACACACACACACACACACACACACACACACACACACACACACACACACACACACACACACACCACACACACACACACACACACACACACACACACACACACACACCACACACACACACACACACACACACACACACACACACACACACACACACACACACACACCCACACACACCCACACACACACACACACCCACACCCACACCCACACACCCACACACACACACACCCACACCCACACACACACACACACCCACGCCCACACACACACACCCACACACACACACACACACACACACACACACACACACACACACACACACACACACACACACACACACACACACAAACCCTAAATTATTAACATTCATAATTTTTGTAATGAAACTGTGAGGGTCGGAGCTTCATCAGACGATGAACGGAAAATGAATACCAATGGTTGCAATATGTCAACACCGCCGCTGCAAGTGGTGATGCACACAACATATTGATGCTGGGAACACCACACTCTGGCTACACATCAATACCCGTCAAGGCCACATATTGACACTAAAAATACATATATACATATATATATATATATATACTTGAAGTGGTACCTTGTGGTGACCGGATGTATATATGTGTCTCCTCCCCCCCCCGTTCTCTCCTACAACACCATAAAACACTCACACACTAGGTGAGTACATAGTCGGTTCAGCAACACAGTACACAAAGTCTAGATAAAATAATATCATCACAGGATTATGTAGTTTAGAGAGTAAATATTAATTTTTGTTTCACTTCTGGCGTGATTAGTGGCAAGTTACACACATATGGTCAAAAATATAAAAAGAAAATAATAATATTAATAATAATTATACAGTCAAACGGTATTGGCAGATTTTCGAAGGGGGTGACGATGGTACGATCTTACTTTGAGGTCTATCCTTCACACCAATCCCGATCCGTCCATGTTGGTCACGAACCCAACAGGAATTACTAGGAGTTACTAGAAATTACGTGTAGTCCCACACGACCTGTCTACCATCCCTCCATGGCTGCAGGGTGAGTCCATCTGGGCGATACTTGTTAGGTCTGCACAACTGAGGTTCTCTTTATGCTGGACACCCAGCTGTAGCCAAACTTCTCTTCATGATGTCATTGACTGCTTATATATATATATATATATATATATATATATATATATATATATATATATATATATATATATATATATATATATAACACGAATTTTCTCAATATTTCTTATGTTTCCTTTCACTGTCGATGGTAATTGAAAAATCAATTCTCCAAAATTCATTTTTATTTCTAGTCTGACGCGACACTTGAACGCGTCATATATATATATATATATATATATATATATATATATATATGTCAGATATAGTTATATTCATTATGATGGGTTATGACTGCTATATTAATAACTAGTAAAAAAAAGTATTTTTCTGCCAGTTGATTACATGCTCAATCTGATGGGCAACAAATGGGTTGAAGTGGCCAATAAGCGATCATGGAATATTTTCCATCAAATTGGGTCATCACGAGGATTTAATGGTTGTTCATCACTGATCTCAACCCACCAATGGGACGACGTCATACGGGTTTCCACAATACATGACATTGGAGCTAATTTCATTGTTAATCACTTTTTAATTTGTATACATAATTACTGATGACGTTTATAGTTTATTGATATTAGTTTAGATTTTATTTCTTATTTTTGCTTATTGGCTTAAATTTACAGCTGAAAATCTATCACAAGAAATTTGAATTTTCTTTAGATATTTTAAAGAATATATAATTCTGTTACTTCTTTTCCACTGGGAATAAATGGTATCTCTCTCTATCTCTCTCATATTTTGAATGAGAATGACAAGGAGGTGTGTGAGGAACTCAACAAGAGATTCAAGGAGGTCTTCACAATAGAGCAAGGAGAATCTCCTGTACTACGAGAAGAGAAGGCAAACCAAGCAACCTTGGATCAATAAAAATTTTCCTACCATACCAGAACAATGAAATTATACAGTATTAGTAAACAATTTACAGAATTATAACAACCAATTGTAGCCCTTCTTTCATTATAATTCCGCAGAACAGCCAATCACTAACGGGTATTCATGGCGTGCTTCAAGCAAGAACCAATCACAAGTCACATTTCATCCTGGACTCTTGAGTAACCAATCATAAATGGGGGGATTTTCGAATCGATTTGCTTTCGGATTCGAAGAACAATATTGTTCAGATGCCGAGTCAAATCACTGTTGTTTGCTTCTGTTAACGGACCTGCTGAACGGGTTTTGGCCACGTGCTTAATTTCTTGAAATCCAAGGAAGTGATTTTGGTGAGGATTGTCATTTGGTGTTCTGGTTTGGCTGGGACA